TTGCATAATTTTATTTATTCAAGTAGCGGCTTTCAATCATTTCATAATGGTGTTAGATTTCTTCTTTGGCAGAAGTAGTATACAGTGTGTAAAAGCCAAATGGAATAAATTCATTATTTCAGTTACGGTACATATTTCAACAAAATTTCGAAACACCTCGAATTTAAATTATAATTTGACCTACTTCAACGGAAAAATGCTACCCCTACCTTCAACCCCCATACAATGACAGGTACAATCCCCAATTTTATAAATGGGAAGTATAGGCTTGTGTTATATCGTTTGAAAGATCTCTTCATCCTCTTTTCAAAACGCTATCAAGTTTGTTACAACAATTAGGATAAAATGAATTGAAATCATGTCGTTACCGAAATTCGATAAAATACACTCAAAACTTATTGCAATATACTCAAAACTTATTTCATGTTGAGATAATAAGAATGTAAGCAGCAATGTTCTTCTTAGATGGTATTCTTTAAAAAACTGTAAATAATTTCCGTGGCAACGTTAGTTTAAAACGCCTTGTCAACTTGTTTTATATGTTACAACATTAGTTGTCAGTTGTCAGTATTTTAATTTGTTAACTTCAAGTCTGACAAATGGTTACATTAACGGAAATGCATAAAATAACAGTTTTACAAATTATTGGTTACGGAGATAAAACCCGAACACAACAGGCAGTAGCTCACCTATTTCATCAGAAATCTCCTAATTTACCGCCCATATCTCAAGGAACAATAAGCAAAATAGAGAAGCAGTTTCGCGAGCTTGGTCAAGTAGGGCAGATAAAAAAAGCAGCTGCCAATGCAATGAGTGATGAACTCAAATTAGATGTGATGTTTGAGTAGATACATACATCGAGTAGACAGGCATCCACTACATTCAATGTTAGCCATATATCGATAGTAAACATATTAAAAGAAAATAAAATGCATCCCTATAAAATGATACCTATTCAGGAGCTCATGAAAGATAGAAGAACTTATTTTTGTGAGCAAATGATGGACATGTTGGATAACAATATCATCCAATTAGAAGACGTTATGTTTTCTGCTGAATGTTGTTTGTCTCTTGACGGTCATGCTAATCGGCAAAATTGTCGCTACTGGTCAACGGAAAATCCTCACTGGAACTGTAGGAATTGTAGGAAATCACATCATTGGTCCCTTTTTCATTGGGTGCCACTTGAATGGCGATAATTATTTGGCACTACTTCAAAATGATGTCATTCCTAGTTTAGCAAATTTATATCTTGATCCAGGAAACCCTCAAGTTCCGGTGAATATTATTTCAGCAGAATGGAGCACCACCACATTACCAAATTAATGTCCGGCAATATCTCGATACATTTCCCAATCGGTGGATAGGGAAGCGAGGATCGATTGAATGGCCAGCGCGATCACCTGATCTTTCATCATTAGATTTCTTTTCATAGGGATATGTNCCGAGTTCAAAAATGTCTCGAAATGGATGAACTCCAATTCGAACATTTATTGCGCCATTAATTTATTTGAGTATATAAATTACTTCATTTCAATTTTCATTGCATTTATAGTGTTCGTTTCGGATGTTATTATCACTATTATTTCTTTTTCTGCCTATTAAAACACATTTAATATGTTTTTTATGTAGATATGTTTCAGATAATCATAAAAGGTTTTCTTATTCGAAGTTCATTGTAGAAAACGCTCAGAGCAATGGAAAAAATATGGATAGGTACCTAAAAAGTAAAAAAAAACTTTCGAAAAACCCTACAGTACATAGGGATACGTGAAAATTGCTATTGTGTTTTTATTCAAATCAGTCAACCAATTTTCAGGGCCGTAATTTAATTTCCCAGTATTAAGTAGTGAAGTGAACGTCGACGAAACAAAAAAAAACAAAAATACAGGTCCGTATTTGAAACTTCGAAGATGGGGGTGGCCCAAGTCAGATGACAACCTGTATAAAAGATTCATGGACATATTCTGATAGCACACATCAAGTGCCACTAGCAAAATGTGGACAGATTTTCAATATTTCTGCGAATAAAGAAGATATAGGTGCAAAAATTATTTGGGATTTTTTAGTTTTTCCTGTATATCTCCAGAACGAAAAGAGCTACATATGTACATGTATGTAATACCGGAAGTAACTTTGGACTCATCTCCATAATATTCGAAATCACAATTCAGATATTCGTTATACGGATTCCAATCATTCTTTATAAACAATCATATTTTTCAAAAAACACTTTCTGAGGGAGATTTCTGACTAAGAACAAATATCAGATATTTATAGTATATTTCCACAATAGTAGGCACTGCCGTGATTAATGGGTACAATATACAATGATTGTGGATAAGAATTATTACTTAACTCTTCCATTATTCAAAGTGTAAAAACCAATAACTAACAGTACAATCGTCACTGCTACTACTTTTCCCATTACTGAAACAGACAAAGGAAGAAGAAAACCTATTCGGTGTAAACTGGATCCTAGTTCAGGGCCCGCGGGGGGCGGAACACACCCCCATCTAGCCCAGGAGACACTCGCGAGACCATTTATTGGTTTTTACGAGATAAACATGGACGAAATTAAATCCCCGGGCACACACACTCCACAGAAAAACATTTCGATATTTAATTCCAAGTTAATCTCGGCCCGATTTATCCCGACTCGTTTTCACGCGCACAAAGAGAATTTGTTTAACCGGACTCCAATAAACGAAAAAAACCCAATTAACTTCGGGGTTAATAGACTTTTTTGTGCACATAACTATTATGTTGACATATGGGGTGTATTGGGGATTGGATCTGCCCTGGGATGTACGTTAATATTATATATTATATATGAGGTGTCAATTTGAAAACTTACCACGAACTATATTTAGGCCCCTATAGAAAACCTGAGAATATGAATGCATAGGCTGTGTGCCCGAAGCGGCCCTCTGTAAGAATACAGACTGGTTAGGAAAATGTGAATTGAGCTTATATGGGGATGTTAAATGGTGGTCGGCTCTCTGCTGCTCTCAACGGGCCGACGGCTCGACGAGCCGCAGGTCCCTCGATCCGAGCCGTCGGCTGCTCGATTCGAGACGACGGTTGCTCGATTCGAGACGACGGCTGCTCGATTCGAGACGTCGGCTGCTCGATTCGCGACGTCGACCGTAGGAACGCCAGTGATGGTTTGAGTGGATGAAAAGCACCGTGATCAGCTGTTTGAAACGAGCATGACAACGGGCGAACGAGTGCCAGAATGGCCTTGATTGAATCAACATCAAATTAATCATGCCACAACTTAAAACAGATCAGTCGCCGAAGGCGAACTGATTAAAGCTCAAATAATTGAAGTCTGAATTAATCTATAATCAAAAGATTTAGTATACTTACTTCCATATCTCGAGAAGTCACAAAAGAACGATTTTCACAATTATTTATGCTGAAAATCTCGAACGGCACACGCCGTTTACACTGAGAGTTGGTGATACGTGTACAAGGTATCGAAACACGAAGCATACTGAAGAAGATCTGCGCTCCGCTCGACCAACGGCCGACGGCCGCCAAGAGTGGGTCACTGAACACTATTACATATTTTGTTCTATACAGACCTATTTCATAAATGGTCACTTTATTACAAAAAAATTGTTGTTACCTACCTTCACAGTATTTGCAATAAACAGACACAATTCGAGATCCGCCGATGTTTTACACGTCCACTAGAAAACACTTCTGACTTAATACTAGTTCTGCCTCTTTCACACAACATGCATAAATGAATAGCGGGAACAGTAAAAGAGACCGAAACATGCGCTGTCCCTGTTATACTTAGAGATAGGTGACTTTTTCTTTACAGGGTTATAGAGTTTGCTTTATAAGGTCAGTTTATGGTAAAATCGAGTATTACAGGAATTTTGAGTTAAGTCACTTTCATTCTAAGGGTGCGATATAANTTATATGTTTGTGTATGTAATGCATATGAAGAACATAAAGTTCTCAATCGGATGTCAACAAATTCGTAATAAGTATCTCCTAACACACACCAAATTTCTTTTGCATATCTCGACCTTTTTTAGAGTAATACAGAACGATTCAGTTTTTATGACAAACTCCAACAGCCTGTATCTCGGAAAACGATAAATATACTGACAACATAATGTCATAATGCAGAAACACTGCCTTTAGTTTGCCACACTTATTCACTAACACCCTGTATACTCAAATATTTCATGGCGTTTGGACTGGCATCCAAGTTATTATTCCTTCCATTGAACAAGTATTACGTGATATTTGTATTTGGAAGTGATGAAATCAATTCATTTTTGTTTCAATTGTATTAAAATTCAGATTTGATCTATAAAGATAAAATGAAGTGTTAGATTATGCTCAAGAACTTGTTGATCTGTGTCAGATTTGAACAGAGAAACATATGTATCATAAACGGTATAGTTTCATCAAAACATGGACTAGTTGGACTAGTAAATATGGAAGAACTGTTCGAAAGCTAATTCTATGGAACATACATGTTCCATAGAATATTTCGAAAACAACAACTGATATTCTCTATAGGAAAAAGTATTTTAGTTCCACAAAATAGAAAACTTGCCCAATATAACCGACTTTTCGGGTCTTCCCGTTTCCGAAACGGCAACAGTGGGATCTGGTACAAATAATGGCCTGTATAAAATAGGTACATTCATGTAGTTTTCTCAATGCCGGTACATTCTGTTGAAGGATTGAATAATCTGAACGGTTACTTACCACATTCTAACAGATTCTCTAGAAATCGAACCTATATGCCCAATAGCGAGTGAAATCACTAACCAATCGGATACCGTCAGTCCAAAAGATCATTCAAAGTAGTTTGTTAATTTGTAGAAAGTGAAAATAATGAGACAAGAAATACTTGAGATTTCGATAACGGCTGAAGGGCTACAGTTCTAAGAAATAAATGAAAAGAAGTTCTTTCTCTGTTAAACATAATGAGTATATTCTAGTACATGAGTTAAAATGTCACTCACCAAGTTCCATCAAATTTTCCAGAACAATTACAGCATCATCGTCTATCTTATCACTCCCATCCAAGTTTTTCCTGGTTGCTATGCACTTACAAAAATAGTCGACTACATCAGATACTCCCAGTCGTTTTTGAAAATCTTGCACATTAGGAACAATAATTTCGTAGAAAGCCATTTCGTTGCGATAAGTAATCTGAACGTTGAATATTTCTCTGAACATTTCCAACTCTGGCAGCGTTTTTGCAACAGTGTGCAATATTTCTTGAGTACCGTTTTCGATGTTGAGCAGTGTAATGTCGAGTTTGAGCATAATGCTGCCATAGTTTTCTCCTGGTGCTGTGAGTCTGCTGATTTTAGTATCCTTTATAATTTTATTTGGCCCCAAGTAGTTCTTCAGTAAATCTGGGAGGTTTTTTATACAATCCGCGCCACCCATATTTCCTACAGTCATTCGAAACAAACTGTTTTGTTCTACTGAATATCATATCAAATTCGCTGATAAATGTTTACATAACAAATCATTCACTCTCGTGATATGTGAGATAAGGATGTCTAGAAAATAAACGTATTAATTATTTACTCATATAGACGTTGCTAACTTGTCTGCCTTGAAATATATGAATTGAGCAGCATACGTGGAACTGGGTACAGTGCAGGACATTAACAGTGGATCAATGTATTTACTGGTCTGTGTTTTGTAAAATGTGGGTCGCGATCCCTTGGGGAGTCGCAAACTATCCATAAGGGTCGCTTAGTAACGGCAAAAAGTTAGGAAACATAGAGCTGCATATATAATATAATAATATTATTGTTATTATTATTATTATATCAACGACTAATTGGAAAAAAAACAAGAATCCGATATATTGCTTTGCTGACGACAGCACACTTGTCTCGCCATTCCATTTGGATTTCAGGACATCGGCTACGGAGTCACATCCTCACCCGCAGCAAGAGGTTGCATATCTCAATGAGGATCTAAAAGTGATTTCAAATTGGGATGAAAGTAACCAGGTTCAATTCAAAGCCACAAAAACCCAGACATAAGTTTTCTCCAGGAAGATAAATGTCTCAGAACTGGATGCTTCGATAAGTTTGTTGGGGGACACCAAAATGCCTTGGCACAATCATAAAGCAGTTCGTAGTTGACAGTTGGAACCTTAGACGGTGTCTTAATGAGGGCGATCTTCCATGATAACTTGCTTACTATATTATTGTTTGCTTGCCCATCAAGTACAGTTGATTCCAACAATGCATTAGTTGCTCAGTCTAAACTCACTGATGAGCTCTATGGCAGATCGAAACAGCGACTGTATGGTGTCAGAACAGCTTTGTTTTTGAGCTATGTCTTCAACCTTAGAAAATAATGACGAAACATGAATCTGCTTTTGAGGAAATGAGCTGCTGATGATATCTGCCTATGAATAGATTTAGACCTTTCCTATTTGGACGCTCAAATGAAGTTCCTGGAAGATTTTGAAAGTTATTCGAGAAATTTACTAGAATGAAACATACCAGCAAAAGCCTATAGTAAAGTTTATTGCTTCACCAAGTGGGGAAGGCTAATTTGATGACAGTTCTTGCACAACTTTCATAAATTTGGATATTAATTACGACTGATATATTTCCTAACCAAACTCCGTACGGAAAAATCGGACAGCCAATTAGAAATATTTTAATTTTCAGGAAAGGGACCCCTATATGCGAAGGTGATGAACATTCCTGTACGTCTTCTCTGGAATAAGCTTATTAATCAAAACGAATTTCGTTGCTGGATTTATGGGACGGAAAACGTTATATCAACCCCCTATCCCTTGCAATTACCGCTTCGAAGAACATTTTTGATATAAAAAATTAATTTCTAGAAAGACGAACAGGAATTCAACACCTTTGCAGATAGAGGTCACTTGTTTGAAGATGGACTTTCTTTGTTTTTTCCATTCCTACTTTCTGTACGGCGTTTGGTTGAAGAAGATCCCATTCGTGATTGGTACCCAAATTCACGAAAGACGTACAAGAACTTTTGGTCAGTTACATCCCAAGTTGGATTATTGTTCATACTTTACTCTTCTAAGATTTTCACCACCAACATCTGCCAGCATAAGGCTGAAACTGAAATGGGGATTTTTTGACCAATTGCTCGAAGGGCTGAAACTATATTGACCGGCAGGCAACTCAATCTAATATATAAAAATGGATGTTTGTTGGTAAGTGATAAACGTCTACATCACTCAACCGATCGTGATGAAACTTGACATGTATGTGTAATTTTTCATAGAGAAGGTTTTTAGGCTATCAATGTTTCTGTAACTCGCCACTAGATGGTGCTGTAGAACAATTTTTTGAAAGCAATGTTCTATAACGCTGCGCATGCCTAAGTTACTTGATTCTGATTCTGTCAAACATTTTGGAACAGGAGCGATACAGCAACATAGTACTAGTATAACATAAGGCTACGATTTCGAAATGATCTCCCACATATGGCTGATGTATTCATTTGAATTTATTCATGACATTCTAACAATCTGAAAGGACAAACAGAAACTATGTTATTTCAACCAACCTCTCCTGACACATTCATTGACCATGAACCGAAATCGTTCTCTACCTCTTGGCAACACACCCGCCAACAAACTTTCTACAGTGAGAAGTTCGGACGAATCACCATCTTCAGGTTTTTCGCTGTGAACAAATAAAACGAATAACAGTGCATGACCTATTTCATAATCACATTCCAGTTCTATTTCTTTCTCAAACTGTTCGAAAGTGAATTGGCTGGTATCGCATTTATGCTTTACCAGCACTTGCAGTAAATTTTCGTAATAGTACTTTATGAAGTAATCCAGGTTCTGTTCGAGAGTAGGTCGCGCAACGCTGGTCCAGAGAAAGAAAAACAGATCGGCTGCTGGAGAGGCGTAGTTGAAACACTGGAAGTCGACTATTTTGTTTGAGATGGCTTTGCCGTTCTCGAACTTCTGCATGATATTGTTGGTCCACAAGTCGCAGTGGCTTAATGTTGCGAAAGGTTCTCTGGCTATTGATCTTGGAACTGTTCCCCAGATATTTATTTTAGAACCATATCGGGCTGTGTCTTCATTTTCCATTAGGATTGTTTTCACGAGCTCTTCCCATTGTTCGTTTCCTTCATTCATAACTATGAAGTCGTGGCAATAAGGTTTCACTGTTTTCTCGAAAGCTTCAGGTTCTTTGAGTTTGAATGCCATAAAAACCCCATGGAATCCGGCTAGATCTTTGAGGATGAGCTTTGTAGTTTCAAAGTCAAAACCGTCTATTCTCTTGATATTTTTGTAACCTAAAACAAACATCTTCATCATTATCTAGGTAGCAACTCAACATGAATCGAAGAATAGGGCCAAGGTGGTTTATCCGGTTTGATGAGAATATATTAAATCGTGATTCCACCAGTGCACAGTATAGTATTTTGAGGTGAGTGGTTCCTAATATATTTCTAAAATATTTGAATTTATATAATAGTGGTCTTGAAGTTTTTGTGATCTCATTAATATGAGTGTCCCATGAATGAAATTAATTAATACCACTGGTAGTTAGACAAAAGTGTTTTTATTCATTTCATTTGAGTGATCATGAATTACCTTGAAGTAAACAAGTCATCAATCACACATATTAGAATATATTTAGCTCATACAAGACAGGCTAGATCCGCAAACGCTTCGTTTTACGAGATATGGGGACTATTTGCTCTGAATGCAAATGAAATTATATGTTTGTGTATGTAATGCATATGAAGAACATAAAGTTCTCAATCGGATGTCAACAAATTCGTAATAAGTATCTCCTAACACACACCAAATTTCTTTTGCATATCTCGACCTTTTTTAGAGTAATACAGAACTATTCTGACAGCATAATGTCATATTTTTTTCGTGCAGAAACACTGCCTTTAGTTTGCCGCACTTATTCACTAACACCCTGTATACTCAAATATTTCATGGCGTTTGGACTGGCATCCAAGTTATTATTCCTTCCATTGAACAAGTATTACGTGATATTTGTATTTGGAAGTGATGAAATCAATTCATTTTTTGTTTCAATTGTATTAAAATTCAGATTTGATCTATAAAGATAAAATGAAGTGTTAGATTATGCTCAAGAACTTGTTGATCTGTGTCAGATTTAAACAGAGAAATATATTTATCATAAACGGTACAGTTTCATCAAAACATGGACTAGTTGGACTAGTAACTATGGAAGAACTGTTCGAAAGGTAATTCTATGGAACATAAATGTTCCTGATGTTTTCTGTAAAATGCAAATATTGGAAAAAAAATTCATGAGACTTCTGAAATGATGTAATTTGTTTAACGTGAGTCATGAATCAACAGAATATTTATGATTGTCAATCTTACTGACAAGTTGGTAAATAATCATTCAAATCGTGTGAAATGGCCACCACGTTCACCTAACTTGACCCCTCTGGACTTTTCCTTCTGGAGCTTTATCAAAGATAATGTATTCGGCTCAAGTTTTGGCGAATGAAAGAAACAATAACGAAGGCTTGGATGGCTATAACTCCAAAAATGCTAGAAAACTATCAAGAATATACTATTGCAAGAGCGAATATGTATATTTGATGAGATGTCGTGAACGAGGTAGATAGTAAGGAGCATTTTGACAATGATTTTTCATTTGTATTTTCATTTGTATTTTGTAAGGTTAATTAAACACAAACCTGGGTTCAGTTGCATCACTGGCTGCCTGCAGCCGATGTTTTTAATTGATAATACTTTATTACCTTTTAGACAAAAATTACATTGTATGGCAATTGTCAAGTTTATATAACTACATTTACCACATGGTACTGTGTTACATGCCAACATTCAGATACTAAGATGAAATAAATAAAATGCAGAAAGGCAACGGAAATGCGTGCTGTCTTTCGAGGTAGTTCTATTATCGAAGTCAAACAACAACAAATAAGTAACAACAACAGAACATCAACATAATAGAAATGGAAACCTTGAAGAACATAGTACCAGTTAAAGCGGTGAAAACTATTCGAAAATTTCTGAAAGGCTGTAAAAGCAATT